AATGTTGCATCTATAGCTTAAATTTAATAATTTTAGGTTGCCCCCACTAAACCAAAATCCTGGTCCACCCCCGCACACATCGTATCCCTGTGACCAAAAGAGAGTTCAACGAAACAAAATCTGGTCAGAAAACCGGCAAATTTGACGTTATTCTAGCTGCATGAATCTAGATTGTTAAGTTTCTTATTTTAATAATCCATGAGCCAAAGCCTCTAAACCTTGTTAGCTCAATATAATTAAGTACATGAAAATCTCAGAAGTTTTGAAACCAAATCCAACTCAACTTAGACACAAGATGCACTCTTTCTTATATGAATCCCAAAGTTAGTTATGAACCCACCAAAATTCAAACAGTTTATTCAAACCAACATAACCTATAACATTGCATTCTACCATCGAAAAACATATGCAAAATTCTCATTACCCCCCCCCTCTTTCTTTCAACAAAATTAAGTAGATGTAAATCTTGAGAAATTTTTCAAAAACACAAACTTTCACTAGATAAGCATTTTTCATGTTTCCAAGTATCTATCTACTCATAAATTATAGAGGAAGAGATAGAGATTAACAACATAGGGGTAATTGGTCGGTGTGAGTTTTCTAATTCTAATGCATGTCAACAAGTCTTCCCAAATTTTTGTCCAATAATCTTCCTTCTAAGCAATTACACCATCTTTCTGGGGAAGTGGGAGTTGAGATTCATAAGGGGTGTGAGATTTGATTATATTGTACCTTCATTTCTGAGGAGAGTATTACAACTAGTATAGGTAATATGGAGGGGAAGTCTTCGTATGTCTTTGGTGGTAATGCCTCTAATGGGTTGGGGAAAATAATCAATCCAGGTTTGTTAGAAGAACAGAAGGAGGAATGTAATCCATTGATGTGTAAAGGGAATAAAGGTGCTATACAGAGTTTTGTTCTAAGGGATTTTAAAGTACAACCTATTCAAAGGAGTGAATGCTTTCACCAAGAAAGGGATGCCTTTATACCACAGATGTGGGAGGATGATACCAATGGGGGAAATGGTTTTTACTTGTCTGAGGAGGAGAAATGGTCAGTTTAAAAAAAAAAATTGGAAAAAATAGATTTGTCATTAGTTTATAAGAGAAAAGGAAAGAAAAAGGTAGGAGGAAAATCTGATAGAAAAAATAAAGGGATTGAGGAATTAAAAAGCTTACAATGTGGTGTTAATTATGATTCGCCTAGGAAGCGTGACGAGGGTGTACAGAGTTCTTTATAAAGATTATTAGTTGGAATGTAAGGGGCTAGGGTCGAAGGAAAAAAAGATCAATTAAAGAATTATTGATTACCAAGAGGCCTGATGTGGTTATTTTACAAGAAATTAAAAAAGAGAAGATTGAAAGAATTTTGATAAAAAGTGTGTGGGAAGCTAGATATAGGAACTGGGTTTGGGTGCCTTATGTGGGTTTGGGTGCCTTATGTGGGTTTGGGTTCCTTCCGTAGGTAGGTCTAGTGGTATTGTAATAGCATGGGATGAGAGAACAATCAAAGTGGAGGAATATGTTAAGGGTGAATTTTCAATTTCAACTAGGATTATGCATAATGATGGGTGGGATTAATAGTTAACTGGTGTTTATGGTCCAAATTGTCCTAAAATGAAGAAAAGATTGTGGGAGGAATTGGTGGGTTTATATGGTCTTTGTAGTCCACAATGATGTATGGGAGGTGATTTTAATGTTGTAAGACACTTGTCCAAGAAATTGAATGGTACAAGAGTGACTAGGAGTAGGAGAGATTTTGATTCCTTCATTAAGGAAGGGGGACTTAAGGATCCACTTCTAGGAAATGGTATTTTCACTTGGTTAAATTTTAGAGAAAATCTAGTGTGTAATAGATTGGATAGATTTCTGTTTTCTACAGAGTGGGAGGAATATTTTTTGGCAGTTAAGCAAAAGACTTTGGTGAGAGTTGTATCATATCATTGTCCCATAGTGATTGATTTAGCTAAGATGAAGAGGGGCCCATCTCCTTTTAGGTTTAAAAATATCTGATTAGAGGATCATACATTTAGATATCATTTTAAGGAGTGGTGGGAAGAAAGAAGTTAGCAGGGATGGGAAGGATTTAAATTCATGTAAAAATTGAAAAATGCAAAAAACAGAGTTAAGTGTTGGAATAAGGAGTTGTTCGTGGATATTAAAACTATAAAAAATAAAATCATGCATAGAATTGGAGAGATCAATAAAATGAAGGAGAATGGGAGGTTAGTAGATAATTTGAGGAAAGAAATATGGGAATTGGGAATTAAGGAATAAATTTGAAATGGTGATATTTAAGGAAGAAATTAGTTGGAGGCAAAAAGTAAGAATGAAGTGGATTAAGGAAAAGGATAACAATTCTAAGTTGTTTCATAGAGTGGCAAATGGAAGAAAAAAAAAGTTCATTGCTAAATTGGAATTGGATAATGGTGAGATTATAGAGGAGGAAAGAATGATTGAGAGCAACATGGTAGAATTTTTCACCAATTTATATTCACAACTGAGGGTGAGAAGCCGATAATGGAGGGACCGGAATGGAGCCCAATAAGGGAAGGAGTGTCAAGATGATTGGAAAGACCTTTTAGCGAGGAAGAAGTACATAAAGTTGTTTTTCAGTGTGGTCGTGATAAGGCATCGGCCCCTGATGGGTTCACTCTGGCTATATATCAATGTTGGGATATTGTGAAATCAGATTTAATGAAAGTGTTCAATGAATTTTTCCAGAATAGTGTGATTAATGCAATTACCAATGCGACCTTCATCTGCTTGATTCCAAAGAAAGTCAAGTCCGTGAAGATGAGAGAATTTAGACCTATCAGTTTAGTGTCTAGTCTTTATAAGATCATTGCAAAAGTCTTATCTTTAAGATTAAAGGAAATATTGTGTGATACTATTTCTAAATATTAGGGAGCTTTTGTTAAGGGTCGACAAATTCTTGACGTTGCATTAGTGGCAAATGAGTTGGTGAAAGATTATATAGTTAGAGATAAGGAAGATTTTATTTTTAAGATTGATTTTGAAAAAGCAAAGGAGGGATAGAATTTCGGTTTCTCATTTACAGTTTGCTGATGATACAATATTTTGTCCTGACGAAAAAATTAGAAGGTTAGCAGGACTTAGTAGATTATACTTTTAGGTTGTAAAGTAGAAAAATGGCCTTTGAAGTACTTAGGACTACAGTTTGGGGGGTGGGGGGGGAATCCGCTTTAGTTATCTTTTTGGGATCTAATGGTAGAAAAAGTTAGACGGGTGGAAGAAAGCTTACATATCCAAGGAGGGAAGGCTAACTCTTGTTTAGTCAGTTTTATCTAGTATTCTCCCCTACTTTTTATCTTTATTTAAGTTACCAAGGAGAGTTGTAGTGAAAATTGAAAAATGATGAGAAATTTTCTTCAGGAAAGTAGTGGAAAAAGGAGAAAGGATCATTTGATTAGGTGGAGGATGGTGTCTAGACCTAAGAATAAAGGAGGTCTCTCAATTGAAAATTTGAAGACAAAAAATATTGCATTGGTAGGCAAGTGGGGTTTCCCTCAGAGACAAATTTTTTATGGCATTTAGTTATTAGGAGCAAATATGGACTACATTCTACAGGATAGGACACTAATAGGGTTTGAAAGGGTTAGTTTCCGATGCCCTTGGAAATTCATTTCTTAGGGTTTGAAGAGGTTTTCCCAATAAGAAGATTAGTGGTGGGTAATGGGAAGAGAATACGTTTTTTGGAGGATGTTTGGGTAAGGGAAAATGGTCTCTCATATTTGTTTTCCCGTCTCTATCATTATCTTGGCCTCTTAATTCATTCATTGTGTCTATGATTCGTTCACATCATTCTCCACATTCGTGGAATTTGGATTTTCGTAGGAATTTAGATGATAGAAACACCATTGATTTGATATCACTTCTCAATATTCTGAACAAAATTGTTTTGAACATTGAATCGGGTGATAAAAAAGAGTGGATGTTGGAATCATTGAGAGTATTTTCATGAAAATTATTCTTTGATTATTTAATGGGGAAAAATTATTCTTTTTTTGTTCCAACGTTGATGATCCGGAAAGAAAAAATACATTTAAAGGTACAAATTTTCGCTTGGATAGTTGCACATGGTAAGATTAATACTAATGATATGCTTCATGAAATGAGACCTTACACTAGTCTATTGTAAGTGGTGCGTTATGTGTAAAGGTGATTGTGAGAGTGTTGATCATTTATTTTTACATTATTTTGTTACTTTAAATTTGTGGTATTGGTTGTACTAAAAGGCGGGCTTAACCTAGGTGATCCCTACAACATCTATTTCTTTGTTTAATGAAGATGTCAAATGGTTTGGGGGATTTGACAACGGGGTTACTATTTGGAATTGTGCTATCATTGCTACTATGTGAGTTATTTGGAAGAAGCGAAATATAAGAATTTTTTAAAACCAGAATGAGAGTGTGAAAGGACTATGGGAGCGTATTCATTTTTTGGCACCGTTTTGGGCTTCCATTATAAAGGCTTTTAAGGGAACTTTGCTTTTTGCTATAGTAGCGAGAAGGAGAGCATCATGTGATTTATAGGCTTCTTAAAGTTTGTTGCTTTCAATTTGTGCTCCCTTGATTATGATTGGATTTCTTATCCAATCTTTATTGATGTACTATCTTTTTCTATTTTAATAAAAGAGTTTTTGTTTCCCCCCCCCCAAAAAAAATATATCTATCTACTCATTTTTGACCATATCACTCGTCAAAACAAACCCAACAATTATTCAGTTCACCTCAATCACTACACTTTGACACTAACTTTTCATAATTTGTTTAAGAACTAGTTACTTTAGGCTATATCCAAGTTTTCTAAATTCTAACATATTAGATAGGCAGCCAAGTACATCAATATAAACTCCTATATTACCATTAAATTACCAGAAACCACTAAACCAGGCTAATTAAGAGCAATATAGCTTAATCAACATCAAATTAAGCACTATTAAAGTACTCACGACATAGATTATCAAATTTCCCAAACTTAAAACCCCAAAGAATCCACACCAAAACTCAAGACCAAAACGCAATAAACAAGCTATTAAAGCATAATTTCAGGAAACTTAGAAGTATATGAAAGTATAACTTCAACGAATTCAATTTCAGACCAAACTCACCCAGTACTGCCTTGACAACAAATCCGCCGCGGCCTCGCCCCTCTCCCGAACCGTATCGCCGCGGTTCTGCCCTCCCAAGCTCAGAAATGTCGCGGCACGGATCTGATCCTTCTCCGAATCATCCCTAGCATCATGACCCGACGACACACTCAAAGCTAGGGCCAATTGCACTTGATACTCCTCCTCCGACGAAAAATAGTCCTGCCGATTCACAGCTGACGTAGTCAAACTGTTCGCCGCGGTAACCGGGACGGTGGCTGTTGAAGGGGAAGAGCTTGTGGAAGGGCTCGCCGGAGGCTGACCGGAGGTTTGGCCCGAAGATGTAGTCCGGGTATCGGACGAACCTGAAAGCAACAAGGACGACGACGATGCAGTTAAAGGCGGAGTGTCGTTCGATCGATTGTGGTGAAGCTTCTTGAAAATGTGCTTCATTGCGCAGTCCCCTTCTATCTCTACTTTCTCTCGCTACACATCTGTCAACTGTCCCGCTATATATGACTTCTCCGTCTTTCCCTCTCTATATACGGAGATACGAAGTAAATACACAGAATTTGCTTTTTGATGCGAGTCTACTGAGGGTCAAGGGGAAGGGGCGAGAAAGGAGAGGAAACTTAAGGGAGAAGTGTACATGCTTGACAGTTTATTAGAAATAAAAATGGTCATTTATTTTATAAAAATTACAGAAATTACATGGAGCGTTTTGTACTCCAGGCTTCAACTTGTGAAGGTGGACCTTTGCGGAGCATGATGTCGGTCGGCTCCCAAATTTTCTGCTGTTGTTTTTAAAAGTCAGAAGTTTGTGCAGGATGCTCGACTTATGCTGAAAAGTTGTTCAAATCATTAAGGGATTAGTTCTTGCACGTGTACCTATATCAAACAAATGCTCTTTGGTGATGTGTTTAACTGTTTATGCATTCAATATTAATTTATTTAGCTTTGAGTTTTTTTGAATAAAAAATATGGCCTCTAAATTCTTTTGACATAATAGAAAACAAAAAATAATAATATATTTGTTTTTCAAATTTTTTGTTCTCCAATTTAACTTATATGATTATGCATCTTGAACCACTACTACTCTACCCAGAGGCGGAGTCAGGAATTTTGTTCAGGGTGAGTACTTTAATTATGCACTATAATTATTTTTCTTCTAACCAATCACACTATATAATATATTTATATTTGATATATGAAGTCCATTTAACATAAAAAATTCTAAAATATATATATATTGTCAGGGGCGGAGTCATAAATATCTATAATAGAGGAAAAATATAACTGATATAAAAAAATATTAAGCCAAAATTAATAAAAAAAAAAAGTCAAAATTAAGCCAAAATTAAAGAATAAAAAAAAAGTAAGGATCAACACTAAATTATTGTGAAATAGTAAATTTTATTTTTATTTAGCCGAAACAAAATCTTAACAAAAAGACACAAAATAATTTTTTTAGTACATTTTAACCTAATTATATATTTTAATAAAATATAAAAAATTTTAAAATCTCTAAAATTTTGTATATGAATTAAATATAAATTAATTTTCGTATTTTATTAGGTTATAGACTACTGTTACTAAAAAAATGGTAAATGAAAATTAAAAATTATTCTTAAAAAGTAACGAGTATTGTGTTAGATAAAGAGAAATATTGTATTTTCGTCAATATATAAACAAAATATTGACTCAATCCAAAATTAAAATTTATTTTAGAGGTTAGTGGTCAACTAATTTATTAAAAAAAAAAGACTAGAACCATTATTAAAATTTTCAAAAAATTAGGGGGTAAATATAATATATAAAATAATTTTATAGGTTGGTGCAAAGAATGACAAAAAAACTCAAGGAACTAAGCTTCTCGTGTGTTGAACTTTTCTCTGTTTCTTCTTTTTTTCTTGTAGTTGGGTTGTGGGCAATGGGCAGTGGGCAGCTGGAAGTGAGTGATACAGAGAGAAAAAAAAAAAAAGATAAGATAGATTTTAGTCAAATGGGCCAAAAGTTTTATTTTTTAATGATGGTGGGTCAAAAGTTTTGTTTTTAATGTTGGGCCAAAAATTTTGTTTTTAATGTTGGGATAAAAGTTTTGTTTTTAGTGAGTTCTATTTTTTTGTTTTAAATGGACTTAATTGTTTAATTATTTTGGGTAAATAGTGTGGGTTTAATATAAATGAAGGGGGCACACATAATATATATGTATAAATATATAATACATATATCTAACTAAAAAAAAAAATTGAGGGGAGCACGTGCCCACCCTGGCCCCTACCTCCCTCTGCCCATGACTCTACCATTGCCACTAGCACCATATTTTTACCAGTTGTGTGTGTGTTTTTGAAGGCGTGTGTAGTTTTTATGCGTTTGTATGTGATTTTTAATTAGGGGTTGCTTATATGGTTTCGTATTTTAACAAGTACTTGTGTCCCATCAACTTTTTTTTTTATCTCAAACTGTAGATTTGTATGTGTGTGCATGTGGTTCCAAATTATATTTCTCTATGTGTATGTGTATAAGTTTATCAATGTGATGTCCCAAATTTGAGTGTTTGTAATTACCTCGTTGATCATCCATCAACCCATAGAATATCCGTGGATACCATGTAACTCGATTTCACGTCGTTATGCCTCATTTACCGAAATCCATAACTTAACAAAATTCATGCAGAATCTTCTTTGTACAAAGAGCTCTACCCAAAACGTAACATGTGCAATCATACAAAATTACCCACACCGAGTCCATTTATTCATACTCATATAACAACAACTCAAACTCATATAACACACAAGTTTACAAAAAATATAGTTCATTTGAGTTTGTTTTACAATTCCTTACACAATATTACATGCCACAAAATATTTACACGTGTTTTACAAAAACGCAATTTAAAGTCACATCTCGGTTTTTCTTCATTAATGAGGGCCTAGAGTAAGAGTCATCCACCGGCGCATGTCCCGCACATGAAATATTGTCCCTATAAATGGTGGGTCCTGCTCAATAGGGTATATCCTAAAAAGATTACTCCCCAACTTAGATGCAAATGAATGTTTTTATGCAATTCAACAAGTAACAAATAATTCATTCAAGAATATGCAATTTATAATATACTTTTCTATGTCATGTCATATCATGAGATGAGACTCACACATGCAACTTAACCCGAGCCTTCACCGGCTCTCATAACACATGCAATGTCATACATATGAATCTGGGCATTCCAAGCCCTTACCATTGATGTTACACATCTAATGCCATTTTATAAAATAAATCATGTATCTTTCTTGGGTACACGGATTTTGGTATCTCACCACCGGTTCCATGACACCAATACACTTTCTTTGACTTATACCAACAGAAGTGTATAAATCAGTAACCGGGTCTTACACCTGAGAAAGAATATAGCCCTTCTTGCTTTATTCGACACAAGTTTTTCATGCAACCGTACAACTCGCTCGGACTTAGGTCCAACCTTCCTAAGTCCATGCTTTAACCACCAGGAATGGTGTTTGATCCAAAAACATGCACACTCATAATCACACTCATGTCAAATGCCCACGAATATGATACTTTCCGTTCATATGTAAATGTAATGTATACTTGCAATTTCATTATCATGTTTACATGTCTTGAGCTCAATATGAACATCTTAAATATCCTTCAACCTTTTTTCATGGTCAATTACATTATAAACATGTAACTACCATCAACAATCTCAATGTCAATATATCATAATGCATATACAAACATCAACTCTCAATCATGTCATAACATAATCAATGCAAATAACATACTTAATCCACATAAGCATTTCATTAAACACCTTCAAGGCATAAATGTAAACACTTAACATGTTCAATCAATACATTTCATAAGAAATCACAAACAAGTAATTTTTAAATACCAATTTATGCTAGAATTGATTTTAAACCTTCTCAATACCCATTTTTCACATTTCAACTATCATAGGTATGTGCCATACCATGTTCAACATGTAATGCGCATAATATGAACATTTTCAATTCTTGTAAACCCCCGTATTCTTGTCTTTATATAATAACATAATGATTTTGAAATGCTCATATATGTAGTGAGGGAAGCATGGACTATATAGGTTGTAAAAGTAGAAGTTAGGAAGTGTTTCAGAGTTAAGACACATTTTTGATAGATTTTGGGTAGGAAGAAATTATAAACAAGACCATTCCTGATGTGACAAAAATTGAGTCTTTTAATGGGTCTAATAGAGAGATTATGATGTTACTTGATATAGCAAGTGTTGCATTTGTTTTGACTGATTTAAAACCCAAAGAAGATACAAAAAATTATGTAAGAGAAAAAGAAAAATAAAAAAATTCTGATAAGGTTTGTCAAAATATTATCTTGAATGCTTTATCAAATGAATTGTTTGATGTTTATTATCATTATAAGCATGCTAGGAAGATTTGGGATAGTTTGTTAAAAAAGTATATTGTTGAAGATGCGGGGATTAAAAAATGCAATAGAAAATTTCTTAGACTATAAGATGGTTGAGGAGAATGATGTATCTTCTCAAATTTATGAGTATCATTTGATTATTAATGAGTTGAGGAATGATAAAATTACTTTGCTTGAGTCATTTATAGTCGGTGGCTTGATTGAAAAATTACCCGATTCTTGGAAAGTTTACAAGAACAATCTTAAACATAAAAAAAGGATATGTCCTTGGAAGATGTGATTATCCATATTAGGATTGAGCAAAAAAATTATTTTAAGGATAAAATTGAAAAGACCAAGGAAAATGTCTCTAAGGCCAATGTTGTGGAGACTACGAATAAGCTTCAAGATAAGCATAAGAAAAAGAATTACAATGGAAAAAATCTTCATAAGCCTCAAGGTTCTAGTTTTAAGAAGAAAGATAATTGTTTTGTTTGTGGAAAAGCAAGACATTATGCTCAAGAATGTCGACACCCAAAGCGAAATGAGAACCTAGATATTGCTAGTCTTTAGTAATACAACAATGGAATGTAAATTTATTTCTAATGCCTTTTTCGTAGGTCATCCGGTTGCATTTAGCTTATGCAACAAGCCCTTGAACCACCAGGTTTACCTTAGTGGACGAGTGTTGTCTCGTGAGGATTTTCAGTGAAGCAACCCACAAACTTCAGTCGAACAGATGTGTATGTGGGATTGCTGATTAAAGTAAATTAGCATCATGGTTGTCGGGACACCCAACTCTCAATTTTGACTTATATCTCGTCTGCTCCTCTTTCATAGGTATTTATTCTATGCAAAAATTAGCATCAGTTACATTGGCATTTGGAATTCTCTGTGTAGTAGGAATGATCACTCTAAAAACAAGAATTGTTATATAACAATCATTCCACTTTACTACCTTCCATAGATAGCTTTGATTTTACAAACCTCTCTCAGAATGCTCTCAGCAAAAATTTGTTCCGATTATAGTGACTTATCTTTCAAAGGGCATGTGATTA